TAATAATACACAAAAAGCTGAAAGAGCATTTGAGATCAAAACTGATTGGTCCAAGATGATGATCGTGTGTCTCAGCCAATCAACTTGTGATGTGCACCATCGTAGTTTGGGCCACCATTTCTTCCCAGGCTGTTCATTGGAGCCGCGTTGGATAGATTGCTAATTGACGATTTCTTGCGATTCTTGTTGTGTTGATGTTTGACGTTGAGCATACTTGGTTTCACTTCATGAGCCTAGAATAGAGATAAATAAGATTCAACAAATGTATCACCTCTTTTTAATGCGAAGGTGATTCCGAAAAAAACCTTTTTGTCAAAGTTAAGCTCTGCTGTACTTGGAGTGGGGTATTTCGTGAACAAACACGTTGCTTATAAGGAGAAACAGTTGAAAAGTCAAATTTGATTGTCTTTGTAAATTCGATAATCATAACACTTCCTGACGCTAGGGTTTGTACACATTTATGTAAAGAGAGTTGTTCTCAATAAACTCCAAAGACATGCCAGGTTTTCAATGCGTATAAGACACAGGCCGAACCCGCGAGATGTACGTAGCACCTAATTTTATCCATTAGCCCCAGGATTGTACAGTCGATGCGGTCCTCGTGTTCTTTTGTTTCCATTGTTATTATCATTGAACTTACCTTTTGCTACCTTTTGTTTTTTCTTCTTTCTTTCATTTGATATTCAGCTTCTCGTGGTTTGTCACGTTCTTGACAAACTTCATTTTTACCGATTGTCTGTCAAGTCAGTGATAATAACAATGAAAACAAAACAATTCGTTTAGACGATAAATCAGTAATGTGTAGTAGGTGGTAAATCACTAATGGATGATATTTAATGGAGATGATAGGTTCTGCTTGTATTTCTTGCATACCATGATAAAATGCATATTTGAGGCAGGTTATACGTATTTAAGAGTGTAGGAAATGTTACCTGAAGCACTCGTCTCCTTTTCTTTGGTAATTTAGCCCGAGCCTGTGAATGTGAATAGAGGTTCGAGAAGTTTGAAACAATGACCGGCACAGGCAAGGCAATTGTTAGTACGCCCATCAGAGCACACATTGATCCAACTAGCATACCCAGGTAAGTGCGAGGGACCTAAATATTCTATTTTGATTCACTGAAGAATGCATTATTAGGCTTCATGACATGCACTTTTGGCGTAAATGTACGGTAGACTGATGTTAAGTGATACGTTAAAGGCAGCGGCGGATTTAAT